AGATCTCAGACGATCGTTGGAAGATCGTCGGATACAGTAGTCTGTGAAAGACTATCATGTTGTACGAGGGAGTTTCCCCTCTTTTACCCCACTTTGTTGTGCCAGTGGGCATTGAGCATTTATCATTACACTCATGTTAAATACTTCGGCTTGGAGAGTGCCATGAAGGCTCTCCAAGATTCAGTCTCGTTATCAAATAGACTATGCCCATGTCTGAGCCTGCTCATATCATTGAGCCCTACAACTTGCTGTCTTCTTACCTAGCCAATAGTCTTCTGTTTCTAGTTACCCCTTAACACTTGCTTTTAACAACGTCATTTTGGATAATTATTGAAATGATCATTATATAGCTTTGGCTTAGAAGCGGGACCCATCGGTTTGCCATTTATTTATTAGATAATTCTAGCTTTTGACTACTATCTTGAAATTGACATATAATGCCAATTATTTTAGCAGTGGCTAATGAAAAAGAAGATAAAATTAAATCATGGCTGTTGAGACAATATCGATAATCGCATTCACTATGTGTTTTGGATGGAGATGGCGGCTCGCTTATACTGGCGGTTCGCATGTGAATTACGCTAGCTTGCAATGCCCGCAGTACTGAGATAATATTATATGGCCTTTTTTGTCATGTATTTACTCTTGGGTCCTATGCTGGTAAAGAGAACTCCGTAGCTTTGAAATACTACGACATGAAATACTACGACATTCGCCGGCGTATTCTCTTACAACTGTCTAGGCAGATGCCCGCCTCGCCCCTGTGGGCAAGCAGTCCCTCCTCGGTTCGAATCCAGCTTTTATGTACATCGTGTCACGATCAAAAACAAAATAAATTGTTGTATCAAATTACTAGAATACTAAAGCTGGAGAATAAAAAGAAAGAAAGAAAAGGCGGGGCACGGCCTCAGCTAAAATATCCGCCTGGCAGAATCGCCACTCTCCGCCTAAGCTTAGACCGTCACATTACCCCCCTCTTTAAGAGGACCTGGCCCTCCAGGTCTTGCCTCAACAGGTTTGTCATCGTCTGGATGATCTGCGTCAAACCTGTCTTCCAACGCAGCTTCGGCCCACTCGTTGAGGCGTTTTGGCGGTCCAGGCAAGTCAGGATGCGTCCTGTGGAATTGCAACAGCTTCTCTGGGGAATTCTTGAAATTCCTGGCTGGGTACCAATTGCCATCTTGGTCATAGCCGAACCATTTTACACGGTACTGCAGCTTTCCATAGTACCGGCGCACTGCGAGGATTTCCTCGACCTCCCACTCATCTTGCTCGTTCACTGTCACTGGTGAAGGCGGATCGAGCACTTGACCCGGCAGCGGTTCTGTACTGGCTGCCAGTCGGAGTTTCTCTGGCGCAAACACCGGGTGTACGCGGATCGAGTCAGGTAGGTCTAATCGGTAGGCTCTGCCAACTTTTTCAAGGATCTTAAAGGGGCCTGCGGCTTGGTTTGCCAGTTTCCGACTTGGTCGATCGGTCCTCCAGTTTCTTGTGGTGATGAACACGAGATCTCCCACGTCAAAGTCTTCTTCGCGGCGATGGCGATCTGCTTGGCGTCGCTGACGCTCCTGCGCAGCAGTTGCTTGCTGCTGTACCTGTTCCCAGATGCTTTGTAGGCGATTTGTGTACTCCCGTGCATCTCGTTCCTGGTCGTCTCCCACTTGTTGTTCCTGACAGCCAATTTTCTCTCCAGTCCATAGCTTCTGGGGTCGGCCAGTCGAATGATACTCTCGGTTCATACCCCCTTTCCACGTAGAAAGGAGACATACCTGTTGTCTCCTGCGGTAATGTTGCTGCTGCGAAGTCAATAATTGGCAAGAGTTCGGACCAGTCATCTTGGTAGTAATCGACAAACGGCCTTAATCGTTGGGCCATGTACTGGTTTGCAATCTCACTCTGTCCGTCAGTCTGAGGGTGAAATGCCGTTGAGAGTTTCCTTTCGATCCCGAGTACTCGACAAAACTCCTTCCAAAACGAGGATATGAATTGGCCTCCCCGGTCAGACACAATAGAGTCTGGCAGCCCTACCCATCTGTACACATTGTCAATGAAAAGACGTGCTGTGGCCTTCGCGTCTGTTTCTTAAGGACATGGCACGGATATCGGCCTTTTCGATAGGCGATCCACAAAAACGCATACTGCATCGTACCCTCTCCGGTCCTTCGGAAAGGACCTGAAATCCATGGTGATATGTTGCCAGGGGCGTCCGGGGATTGGGAGTGGTTGTAAGAGTCCGGGCGGTCTATCCCTCCATGCCTTTGTCTGCTTACAGACACGACAGTTGTCTACATACCGGCGTACATCTTCTGCGAGGCCTGACCAGTAATATCGCGCAGTAGTCATTCTCTTCGTCTTTTCCTGGCCTGGGTGCGCCATTGACGGCTGGCGATGAATCTCGTCTAGAAGCCGCGCGCGGAGGTCTCCCTCGTTTGGCACCACCAGCCGTCCTTCACGAAGAAGCAGACCACCTCGTAACTGCCACTTCCTGTGTCCTTGCTCTGCCTTCTCACGATACTCTTGAAGATCTGGATGCGTACGATTCGCATGCAAGACCCGATCGACAATCGGCGAGACAACAACTGGTGCTAAGATCGGTGCTATGACTGCAGGTGACTCATGCTGATCTTCTTCTTCCTGGTCATCAGGATGCACACCAAACTCAAGTACTCCACGTGGCAACATGATTTGTTCGTCTTTCTGGTTCACTGGTTTATCCTTCCGTGATAGCGCATCGGCTACCACGTTGCCTTTACCTTGGTGGTATCGGATCAGGAAATGGAAACGCGAGAGGTAGTCACACCATCTTGCCTGACGACCATTCAGTCTCTTACTGGTCATAAAGTATTGCAGTGATTGGTGGTCGGTCCAGATTCCAAAACGTTCATCGCGTTGTAATCCTTCTAACTCGGCCCTCCACTCCTCGAGGGATCGGATAATGGCTAGCATTTCCTTGTCATGTGTGTCATAATTTCGTTCCGCCTGGTCCATTGTTTTCGAGAAAAATGCTATTGGGTGCCATTCGGTGTCGGGGCCTTTTTGCGACAGCACGCCTCCAAGGCAACCGTCTGATGCATCGGTCTGGATCTGGGTTTCTGCTGTTGGGTCGTAATGTGCGAGAACCGGTCGGTGTGTTCGTCAATAACCGTTTCAGCTCTCTGAACGCTTGGTCACATTCGGGGGTCCATTTGAAGGGTACCTCCTTCTTGGTCAGCCGGTGCAACGGCTTCGCAACTCGACTATAGTTCCGGATAAAGCGTCGGTAGAAGTTACACATTCCCAAAAAAGACTGGACTCCCCTGACGGTGGTGGGCGGCTCCCAAGCGTTGATCGCCTCAATCTTCGCCGGGTCCACTTTGATCCCGTCGGTCCCAATGATGAATCCCAAGAACTTCGTCTCGGTGGTATGAAATTCGCACTTGTGCAGTGCTACCTGAAGACCGGCCTCTCCGAGTCTTTTCAAGACCGAGTCTACATGTTGTTGGTGCTGTTCTAGGGAACCGTCGGTGTAGATCAGGATGTCATCAATGAATGCCGTACAAAAGTCGTCCAAATACTCGCCCAAAGTGTGGTTGATGTACCGTTGAAAGGTTGCGGGTCCGTTTGTTAGTCCGAAAGGCAGGACCTTATATTTAAATGCCCCATAGCGGGAACGGAACGTGGTAAGATCCTCCGATGCGGGATCCATGCGGAGCCTATGGAATCCCTGGTACACGTCAAGCTTTGTGTAGTACTTGACTTTGCTAACCCGCTGTAGCATCTCATCGATGAGCGGGATAGGATACCGATCCTTTTTCGTCGGTGCATTTAACTTCCGATAATCCACGCAGAACCGGAAACCTCCCCCTGGTTTTCGGGCCATCAAGATCGGAGATTGGTACGGGGTCGTTGACGGGACGATGAATCCCTTGTCCAGATTTCTCATAATGTAATCTTTGGCAAACCGTAGCTCCTCGGTCTGTTTGTACAACGGACAATATCCCAAAGCGGAAGGGTCTCCTTCTAGTTCGATGCGGTGATCGGGCGAGCCTCTCAGGGGTGGCAAGGTGTCTGATTCCTGCCGGGAGAAAACCCTTCTTCGGTGGTGGTAACACTTTGGCACCTTGGCCTCGAAGTCTTGCTCTTCTCCACGGCTCTTCTCCTCGATGATCCGGTCAATTTGGGCCAGTGAAGTCACGAAGACTTTTGTGCCTTCCCGGAGCATATGCCTATGGAAGCCCACTCGGCTGCGATGTCCAGGCTCTTTCGCGGTGCTTGGTCGGGGACTTTCCGGGGTATCACTGCAATAGATTCACCTTTCAGTGCACGTTGCATCTTCTCTGTGGTGTCCCCCTTATGATCATGCCCGTAGCTTCTCTTCATGGCCTGGGGGTTTTGGTCCGCAACCCGGGGCCGTTTATGGCGATCGGCATGCTCTCCGTGAATCTCTTGTTCCATCAATTTATCACGGCGCTCGACATCCTTCTGATGGTCGGGATTCAGTTTCGGTCGCCGTAGAATCTTCCGAGGAACAGGACGGATCAGTTGGGTGACGACTTGATCCTTCAGGGAACGATCCTCGGGCCACCACAACCGGTGATTGGCACAATCAGGTAACACATTGAATTTCTTGAACCACAACTTTCCCAGAATGAGGTCGTGTTTGCCTAACTCGGTCACCACCATCGGCTGTTTGAGCTGGACTCGACCGTCAATCATCAAAGTTAACTTCACTGCGTGTCGAATACAATTCCGTGAGTCGCCATCGTACGCTTCCACGGGAAATTCCTGGTCTAATCGGCGCGTCCGCAAATTCCAATGGCGAATGAGGGCCTTAACCAAGTTTGTGTTTATAAAAAGGTATCCATTGGCTCCGGTGTCAGCTAGGCAAGAAACTGAAATAGCTTTTCCATTCATAGATATACGCGCACTAAACGTTAAACTGTTATCGGATAGTAATTGTGTGTGATCCAGTTTCGTGAGTGACACCCCTTTCACACCTGGGAGGGAGACTTGTCCCAGGCCTACTCGTTTCCCGAATCGGCGTCGGTCTCTGCTTCTTCGATCTCGTCTTTCGTCTTGGTTTTGGCCTTGGCACCCGTCACGGTGGCGGAGGCGACGGCGGTCCTTTCGTTTTTGTTTGTCTTCTTGGGGCAGTTATAAGAGACGTGGCCCTGTTCCCTGCAAATGAAACACTTCCTTTCCTTCATAAGTGTTGCCTTTTCGGCGTCGGTCAAGCGGGTAATCTCATTGTTGGTGGAAGTCGAACGCGATGCTTCACCACGGCCGGCAGTGCCGCTATTGTTGTTGCGGTTTGTATTTCGAGTGGCATTCCGGGCGGCGACTTGCTGAGCGATCAAGCGGGAAGCAATCTGGCATTTGTGAATGAACTGCTCGAGGGAGACTGACTTATCTCCCGAGTGGATCATAACTTGAGTTTGTAAGAGAGATGGCAATTTCCGATACAAATCCTTCTTCCTGAGGTCCATCGGTTGTTCGGATTCTTCCGCTAGGCGGGTGAAGTCCGCCAGGAAATCAATGAAGTCTTGTTTCGCATCCATTTTGAGGTCCAGGTACTCATCCCGAGCCACCTGCTTTTGGTTGGGATCATAAAAGACGCTTTCCAGATGATCGAAGACGTCCTTGATTGTCTGGTAGGGAGTTGTCGAGTTGTCCTCCATTCGAGGACTAATATGACCATACGCTTTTCCCTCGCATCGACTGCTGACATATGCTAACTGATGTGCCGTTGTGGGGTAATGATCATCATTCAAGAGCAGCTTCCGCTGCATTTCTGCCCTCCATGGTTTGAACTTCACACCCTTTCCGTCACTAAGCACCGGAGGATCTGGCATTTTGGCGGACCTCTTCTGTGCAGGGGACTGATGGTTTCCTTTCACGGTAGGTGCGCCTCCTCCCATCATCTTGACCACCGCCAGCAGACTTTCTTTCTCCTTCTGAGCCTGGTCTAACTCATCCCGCATCTGGGCATACTCTGCCTCCATACGCGAATCTCCATCCTCATTTTCGCGGGGGATTTGTTGCGTTAAACGCATAATCCGTTCGTTTAAGTTGAACACCTCCTCCTTATGGGCGTTTTCCATCTCTTTGATTTCCTGCTCCCTCTGTTCCCACTTCTCTTGCCTGTGTATCATGAGCGTGAAGGTGAATTCTGCGTTGTCTTTAATCCATTCGACGAAATCCTCGGGGGAGTCGATCTGCTTATCGGCATGTGTTTCATCCCCAGGGAAAACCAGTGAGCTGCGTCGCCTGGATTCTAAGGAGCGTGCATGTGGTGTCTCGAGAGACTCACTCTCATCAGGCCGATCAGTGGGTCCTTCGCCGCCGGGTCGTGCCATAATGACGGTCGGTCCGTCCTATTGGCTCAGGGTTGGGTGGGGCAGTACCTGGTAGCAAGAACCTGTACCCGAGTACAGTTCTTCGCTCTTCAGGTGCTGAAAAAGAAAGTTGTAAGATTGGGTGAGCTTTAGTATAATGTCACGATCAAAAACAAAATAAATTGTTGTATCAAATTACTAGAATACTAAAGCTGGAGAATAAAAAGAAAGAAAGAAAAATCGGGGCACGGCCTCAGCTAAAATATCCGCCTGGCAAAATCGCCACTCTCCGCCTAAGCTTAGACCGTCACACATCGTACGGGACGCTCGCGCCTCCGCCCACAACTCCGAGCGAAAGCCTCAATCCAATGGTACTAGACCTCGTTTGTCCAGCTTGGTGACTGTTCTTAAATATGCATGTCACTTTTTTTTCTTCCAAAAAAAGAATTCTACCATAGGAGCAGGGGCCCTCCAAGTAGCTGACTAGCTAGAGAGCTATGTCTCTGTGAGATATAAATATATATAACGCAGGCATTACATTAAGTCCTAAATCTAAAAGATCCAATATGTTAAGGGGTAGCTATAAACGAAGCTAATGGCTAGCTAGGTATTAAGATAATAAGATGTGGAGTTCAGATAAGAATATCATTCAATCGATAACGAGACTGAATCTTGGAGAGTTCTCATGGCCCTCTCCAAGGCGAAGTATTTAACAACGAACACAGTATAACTCAATGACAACACAATGACGACGATGAGAGAATTCCCTCATAGAACATGATAAATCTCTCATAGACAATCTGGCGATCCCCCAAGTGACAATGAATTCGATGGTCAATCGAAGATCAGCTGTGATAAAACAAGATATTGCGGGGTCCGAGCCCTAAGATGATGGAAGACCGATAATCATCAGCATTCAGATCCATGATAATCCGGGGTCCCGTCCAAGATCATCTCCGGTCCACGTCTCCGATCACGTGTGGGGCCGGACGATCATACAAGGCCTAACCGCTGAGCATGTGAGGGTCCCAAGAGGGGAACCCCGTAACACAATAATGAAACATGAGTCAAGGGACCTCGATTCGTCGAGAAATAAGGAAGAACAATACAGTGGCAAGCCGCCACGTCTGCCAATCTCACGACAACGCACACACCGACCTGCCAGATGTGAAGGGAAATTGACTTTGAGTATTTTGACTCTTTGTTACTAGGCCCACTGGCCTTGGCTGGGGCATGCGGGAGACCCTGGCTTGTCTCCGGTACTCCGTCATTGCTTTCCACCCCATTGTCAAGCATGTCATGACTTATGTCATGTGAACCTTATCTGTATTAGTGTTTGGTTCACCTCCCCGGACATCCGGGCGGGCCGATCTGGATCGTCTCCGCTTGACTGGTGTACTACGTTAGATAGTGAGAGAGGCTTGAGGATAAAGACCCAGACACTTGGGTTCTTGTTAGATCCTCAAGAATTAATTGATGTTTCTACCTACGCACACAAAGATATCTTGATTCGTATCGTCTACTCTATTGCCCTTCGGCTACAAACTCCCAGTATTACCACTCATCCTCTTATCTTATCGATTCACCATCTTCTACCTGACCTTAGTCCTTTGCTATTGGGTCGTCCACTACCCCATCCAGTATCTTGGGACTCCTCTCCTTACACCAGAGCTGCGGACGATGATGACGACGATGCATGAAACCTGGCAAACTTGCAGACGCAGGAAGACGACGATCCGGGGAGCTTCAGAGAGAGGCTACACCGTGGAAGGTGAAGGAAGAGCGAAGAGGTGCACAGCAGAGGGAAGGGTCGACGCTGCATCCGTGAGGAATGCGAAATCGACGCAATCGACTATCTTTACCCTTTCTTTTCTTTTGCACTGTTTGCACTTCTACTGGCTGTGTGAGATCTAAAATTATGAAAGATAACACGTCGGCGGACTGACACTTGTAGATAGACGACTGCGGAGTTTATCACCAATTGTAATACATGAAGTGCATGCAGCACATGAAAAGGGTGAAAGGCGTTGTGAAGTTAATCGAGTCCTTAATACTAGAACAACAAGACTGAAGAGAAGAGGGAAAAGAGAAAAGAAACAAGAGGAAGAAAGAGATACATAGTACCAGTCCGTTCCTCCCATCATATGATAACCCTCCAACAGTCCTAGCTCCATGTGTTCATCACAAAAGGTGTCTCTTGGAGGTGTACAGTGGAGGAAGGTATTATGGAAGGTGGGATGATGGAGAGAAAGGTAGTGCTGAAGGGTGAATTGCCTGGGAAATGACTGATGGAAAATGTGGAAAGAATAAGGTTGTTTGATTAAGATAAACTTGATGATGATTAACAATCCTGTGGGATGTGACTCCCGTTATCTTATTCATGTGCTGTATTTGATGATAGGCTCCCAAATGTGTTATATATGATAATTGTAGATCTTACAGAGTCAAAGCCAATAAAACTAGCTATCATCATCAAGTTCATATCATATTATCAAACCCAAACCAGCGTATTCGACTCCATCTATCTACCTTCTGGTTCACATTTTCCACAGTATATTTTTTCTCAAGTCCATTGGTCTTCAACAATATCTTCCTCTCAACCCACCCACCTTCCACAATACCCTCCTCTGCTGCAAACCTCCAAGGGGCTGGTTGAAACCCTACATCTCAGGTTATCGAGTCCTGCATAAAGGGTAGTTGTTGTGACGGTCTAAGCTTAGGCGGAGAGTGGCGATTCTGCCGGGCTGATATTGTAGTCGAGGCCGTGCCCCCGCTTTTTTCTTTCTTTCTTTTTATTCTTCAGCTTTAGTATTCTAGTAATTTGATACAACAATTCATTTTGTTTTTGATCGTGACAGTTGTATCCTGTCGAAGCACCCCCTGATTTTAGTTCCCGAGGGAGCAAGCAGGCTGTGGAGCGCAATCACCGCATCGCAGCATGTATTTAAAGCAAGATGACTCGGGATGCCGAGAATATCAACATCGTATATCCAACTTGCGATCTAAAATTATTTCATGGCTTCCTGTCCACAAAAGCAATAGCTGACTGGGGAGCTGGGTCCAGCTAGGCCGGATATTTGAATTTCCTTTGCTCTCATAGAGTTGTACTGTTAAACACCTTTCATGTTAAATACTTCGACTTGGAGAGAGGGCCATGAGGACTCTCCAAGCCTCAGTGTCGTTCTAACGAAATTGCACAATCACTTCTGAGTGTTACAGGTCGTGGAGGACTTGGGGCTATGAGGCATGTGACTTGAGGGAGACAGACACGTAACAAATCTAACAATAAGGGAGGGGCACGTGCTGCTTATCGGACAGGATATCAGCACGTCCTGGCGGAGATGTTTTCCTTCCTTCCTTCTCTCCTCATGCTTAGTTGCTTCGTTTAATGCCACTACATTGATCGATCTTCTTCATCATTCGTAACTGGGCGTAACACTGAGCTCCACATCTTACTGTCTTCCTACCTAGACAATAGACCTCTGTGTTACGCACGACCAACTAGTCATCGCCCAAGGGAGGAATATGATTGGGCTTCCTATGTCGCTGATCTGCCTCTCAGCCGTACCGTTGCCTGCAAGGCCTTATGCGGGCTGAGTCCGTTTGAGGGTATCAAAGGGAGATGCTAATTGGGGCGCCGAGCGGATTTCCACCAAGGTGCTGATCGGATCGTTGTGGGTGTCAGGTTATAATCCAAGATACGAGTCACTGAGGTTCCTTCTGGTAGCACAAGTAACAATAATGAGATTGAACACAGGGATCTTGATATATGATCGAGGTCCTTTATATATACCCTGCCTTCCTTCAAAGTGGAACAATGGACAGATTATCAACCTGCATACTAACATGCTCATCATCATGGAGAGCGACGAGGTCTCGCATTCGGGGAGTGGTTATACGGCAAGTCATATTCCGGCGCTCCAAAAAAGTCTAATGTGATTGGATTGATAAGTCCTACGGTAAGGTAATGCGGGGATCCATCTAGCTCCGGACACGACAGAGTGGTTTAGAACTCACGGAGTATACGTCGAGGTTTAACCCCCGCACTCACCCGATTTGCACAAAACTGAACGGGTATGGCGCAGGTTAAACGTTCTTTTTGTGCTATTTCCGCTGGTTCTTGACATGAAAAGGTCGGAGGCAGACTGGGTGTATCTCAAGAAACGCTTAGTGGAAGTTTGGAGGGCATTAATTAGTCCACGCAAAGATGGACTCGTTGGTATTAGCATGGGAAGACGTTTGGGGGCAGTACGGAAGGCTAAGGGGTATTATACAAAATATTAGGCGACAATTTTATTATGCTAGCACTGAGCAATTCAACAAATCCAACGAACCTCATTATCATAGGCCATAAATGGCGGTGCTATATACAGTGCAAGGGATCTAGGACTCTCATGTTATGTATCATGCAAGAATCAAATGCTTAAACTTCACCCAAAGCCCCTATAGATGCTATTATTACCCAAAAGATGCCCTGGCAGGTTACAGGAATGACTCCGTACGGACCACCGTTGGTAAGATATGAAGTTGTAATTTGGAGCTTTATTTTACTATGTGTTTTGGAGATGGTGACTGGCCTGGGTGGAGGTTCGCACATAGCATATGTGCTTATTCCGGTAGCATAGCATCTCTAGGGACTGTAAGGCCATAATTTATAAATATTTATTTATTAGTCTTACTAACATGGATCCTGGTTGTTTCGGTAACCCGGATATTCCGGCAGGCACCTCAATTTTCCTCTCCTCACCAAACCTCCAATTTTCAAATGCCTATCATGCCACCAATCCGTGGTCAAAAATCTTAGAAATTAGATGAGCAGGTAGGCAGGATCCTGCTTGTAACTAAGGTTATTAAAAGTGGCTGGGTTACATCCGTTGCTGCTGCTGCTCGCTCTTTCAAGGTCCCGCGGTCTACGCTACAGGACGTGATCCAGGTGATTACTAGTTGGTCTGTCATGAGGGCTACAAGCCTTATATAAATTCACCCATAACTAAGAGGATCAATCCGGGATAGGTTAATCT